AGGGAAGGTTCTTCGTTGTCACATCGGCACAGAGTTTTCTTTATGCTTCCCAGGAGCCTGAGGGCCGTTGATGATGTAGCTACACACTCGGATATCCACACACATTGGACATCTCCATCTGGATGGCAGATGACAGTGTGAAAAGTGTGCCAGGCTCCACGTACAGGGTCACGCTGCTCATCTCCAAAGTGGGCCCCGCCAGTGAACAGTTCCATGCCCTGTATTCCATCTGTAAACATTTGCCCCTCTCTGACCTTGCTTTGTCCTTGGTTTCGGTCTTCTAGCTTTTCAGCCCCATTCTTTTCCTCTGCGGGGTCTGCAAAGAGAGCTCCCTGCCTTGCCCTGACCAGGCAGGCCCTCGGACTTAGTTTGCCCCCATGACTGGCCTCTCAAAGACAAGAAAAAAGGGAAGCTCTCACTCCTGGTACCGTTTCGAAGGTGGAGGGGGTTCTGAGGCCCAGAGGAGACTTTGAAAAGGTGGTCAAGGGCGCCTGGGTGGCTCAGTCGTTAAGCGTCTGCCTTCGGCTCAGGTCATGATCCCAGGGTCCTGGGATCGAGTCCCACATTGGGCTCCCTGCTCGGCAGGAAGCCTGCTTCTTGCTCTCCCACTCCCCCTGCTTGTGTTCCTGCTCTCGCTATCTCTCTCTCTGTCAAATAAATAAATAAAATCTTTAAAAAAAAATAAAAAAAAAAGAAAAGGTGGTCAACTGAAAGCACCCCCAAGAGCCTTGCAAATCTGCTAGAGAAGTGGGCAATGATGTACAGTGAAGCCGTTCTCTTCTGCTTCCTTTTAACGCAAAGCTCTCCTTGCAAATGCTGCTTATAACAGAGGAGCCTTCCAGGACCCCTGAACTCCAGACTTCAGTGCTGTGGCCCGTGGTATGCAGCGCTTCAGCTCTCAAGTCAAGTTTAAGAATTGTTTATCTCGGGGCGCCTGGGTGGCTCAGTCGTTAAGCGTCTGCCTTCGGCTCAGGTCATGATCCCAGGGTCCTGGGATCGAGTCCCGCATCGGGCTCCCTGCTCTGCGGGAAGCCTGCTTCTCCCTCTCCCACTCCCCCTGCTTGTGTTCCCTCTCTCGCTGTGTCTTTCTCTGTCAAATAAATAAATAAAATCTTAAAAAAAAAAAAAGAATTGTTTATCTTGCTGGATGGCTGGTCACCTTGGTAATAACATTTAAATGGACACATCCACTTTCTAAAAGGGTCAATATTTGTAAGAGCGTTTCTTTAGCCCAGGGAGCTTTGAAAACCCACCTCGTCTCCTCTTGCGCAAAAGTATATTTTCCAGTTGTCTATCATCACCAAACAAATGATCTAGAAACCAAGTGGCTTAAAACAACCGTTTTTATTTGCGCACAGTTCTGCGGGTCTGGCAGTGGGGAAGGACGCATGGGGTGTTCCTGTCGTATCCACGTGGCACGGGCTTCTCCCCGGTTGGTGGTCTCAGAGCCACGGCTCTGCTCACAGGCCAGCTACTCCCAGGAGGAGGAAGCAGAAGCCACCAGGCCATCTCAGAGCCACGCCCACAACTGGCACAGTGTCGCTTGCACTGTATTGCACTGGTCAAAGCAACCACAAGCCCTGCTTAGACCCGGAAGAAGAGAAGTAAACGCCACTTGCAATGGAGGGAGTATCGAAGTCACATGGCAGAAGACATGTCTCATGGGACATACTGTTGCAGCTGTTATAGGAAAAGAGAATCTTCTACCTCAAGATGATAAACAATGAGTCTGATCAACAGGGGGTGGTTGTGATTGTCGCAGGCTGGCCTGGGTTCAAGGACCCAGAGGGTTCTCACAGGACCAGCCAAGAGGGGCCCGGCTGCGTGCGGGATAGAAATCAACAGCGAGCCAGGAGGAAGGGAGAGCAGAGTTTATTGAAGACAGAGAGAGAGAGAGCACATACTGAGTGGCTGGGAGACCCAGAAAGGAAGGGGAGTGAGTCTCGTCTTTGCTCGGGGTCTGGAGTTTTTATAGAAGACAATGGTCTGGTGTCGCGTCCTCTCAGGCATCCAGGAACTGGTCAGAACAAGGAGCAGTGCTCTGATGTCCTCCATAAGTCACTTATGCCCTGGAGCCAGGGGTCTTGGCGTCAAGGTGTCTGGAGTCAGAGGTCTTGGAAAAAGTTCACGATGGCCCGCCTGGTCACTCTGTAGGTGTTATCTATTGCGCTGGAAGACTCCAAAGAAATCGTTAAGTCCTTGACCTTTAGAAGGGGGACATAAGGCGGGGGTGCAGGTCCTAGCAAGAACAGAAGCAGGAAAAGGAGAAAAAAGGCAGTTTTTTTTTCCCATGGAGCCCCTTCAGCTTCCCTGTCTCACAACGATGGCCATGTTAAACATCTCACCCAGATTTGAGGGGAAGGTTTCCCACCGGCAGTGACATGGAAACTGAGCTAAAAGACGAATGGGGATAAGCCAGATCAAGGAGAGAGAAAGTTGCAGACAGAGGCACAGCAAGCCAACAAGTGGGAAAATACACATTCCAGAGCCTAAAAGAAGTCAGCCTGGTGGAAAGAGGGAGTGGAGTGCCTCTGTGTGTGTGTGTATCCTTGAGCAAGTATCAGCCTGTTGAGAGTGAGGCCAGATTAGAGACATCACAAGACCTTCTCTTGAGGGCCCTGAAGGTTTTCGGCCTTTATTAGATTTCCCTGGGACATGGAGAGTGGATTGGCCAGTGGCCAACCTGAAGGCAGGAAGAGGGGCGTGGCTATCAGATAAGATGACCGGTGGCAATCGGATTTAAGAGACATTAGGCGTGGAATCCACAGGATTTCAAGGTGGAAGAGTGATGGGGATAGCTTGAGTTTCAGGCCCAGGCAATTGGCTAAATGTTGACATTTTTGGTAGCAAATGCAGAACCATTTACTAAAGATTGCAAAGAGCCTGACCGAGAGTCCATATTTCTATTTTATTTGGAGAGAGTTTCAGAAGTCAGCATAATGATGATAAGTAACAATACTGTGTTATTTCATGGCACTTTTAATATTCACACGTATTAGCTCAATTAGCCTTGAATCACAGTAAGGTAGAGAGGAAGGATTTGAGTCCCACTGACATATAAAGAGTCCAGGGGAAAGTCCTTTTTCCTCTACTACCTTGTTCTTTTAGAGCAGGGGTCTGCAAACCAGGCCTGCAGGCAAGCCTGGCCCACTACCTACTTTTTACAGTCTGTGAGCTGAGAGCAGTTTTTACATTTTTAAGTGGTTGAAATTTAAAAAAAAAAAATCAAAAGAATATTTCATGACAAGTGAAAGTTATATGAAATTCAAATTTCAGTATAGTAGGGGCAAGGGGAGATCACCTCAAGATAGGCCACTTTTTTTTTTATTTAAAGATTTTATTTATTTATTTGAGAGAGAGAAAACAGGAGCAGGTGGAAGGGCAGAGGGAGAGGGAGAAGCAGGCTTACCGCTCAGCAGGGACTCAATCCCAGGACCCCAGGATCATGACCTGAGCCTAAGGCAAACGCTTAACTGACTGAGCCACGCAGGCATCCTCCCAGATGGGCCACTTTGGCAAGAAGATTATTTTGAGTTAAAAGAGATCAAAACCCAGCAGATTCAGGAAAAGCGCTTTACTTCCCCCTCACCTGCCTACATTTACATTGGAAGGGAGAGCCTGTACCAAGAAGAGAGCTATTAACAGAGGTTCCTCTTTACTTAAGAAACTTGTGCGCAGAGCAGGGCAACCTTCGTTTTACAAACATCTCTCACCTTCCTGCAGATGGGTCTTCCTTCCCTTTGTTTTCCCACGCCCCGCCCCCTCCCCTGAGCTCTGGACGCCAGATAAACCTCATGGTGCCTCAGTGTCTTTGGAATTTCAGGCTGTGTGGATTCCCCGCATTTACGAAATTAAATTTAATTTTCTCCTGTTCATCTGTCTCATGTCAATTTGATTCTTAGTCCAGCTAAAAGGATCTTGAAGGGCAGAGGAAATCCTTCCTCCCCAACAGTAACCATAATTAAAGTTTAATCAAAACAGCCACACCCATTTATTTACGTGCTGTCTATGGCTGGTTTGTTGCTACCAAGGCCACCTGGAGCAGTCTTCACAAAGAATGTACGTGGCCTGCAAAGTTGAAAACATTACCTTCTGGCCCTTTACAGAGTTTTCTGGCCCCTGTTTTAGAAATGCCACTTTCTTTCCTTTCTCCAAACCACACAATGAGCTTTCTAGTATTTAGAGGACAGAGACCGGCAGCCATGCCTATAGCCTTGGCTAAGCATCCCAGCAATGAACTAGATCGGCTCACTGGCTCCTGCAAGTCCGCACTGCTCTGGGAAAACTCTTCTGCGCCTGCCCACTGCCCTCCACAGCAACCAAGCTCTTAACCAACTGGCTCCCCACTAGAGTGAGTCTCTTTTTTAGGCAGGAGCAAAAAAGTCTGCGCTCTGAGACTTCCCCCATCTTCCTCCCCCGTTCTAAGCGCCAAACTTTCGTGTCGTACTGAGGGCATACCAAGCTCATTGAATTCTCACTACAACCCTACCAGGGGGGTTCTATTATCCCCATCCCCATTTCACGGTGGAAGACCTGGGGGCACAGAGAGGCTGAGCCACCGGCCCCAGCTCGCGCTGCTAACAAGCGATGGAGGCACAAATGGAACCCACAGCGCCCTGATCGGAGCACCTGCCCGGCCCAGGGAGCCCCCAGACCCTGGGGGGGGGGGTCGCATCTCTCCCGGGCGGGAGGGGCGCAGAGGTCGCTGGGCAGCAGAGCCCGCAGGGGAGGGGCGGAGGGCGGCGCGAGAGGAGCCCGGCTGCCCGGAAACAGGGGAGCGTCCCTCGCCCCAAATCCCCGGAGACCCGCAGACTCCCGCCTCCCGCCCCCCGCCCACCCGGCGGCCGCGGGCGCCGAAACGCTGAGTCACGGTGAGACGGCTGGCCCGGCGCCC